GAATATCGGGGGAGTGCTGCAAATTGTGCCCTATCAAGGCAAGGCATCATCAATTGGTTTGAAGTTTGCCGGCCAGACTAAACGACAAGATGAGTACAGATTAAATGAACGAGGTATAGTCAGATGGAATGCGTATTCATGTGAAATGTTAAGCACAATGATTAGACTAATAAATTCCTCGACTATTGCAATGCTGTAAATATAATTGAGCTAAACCATTCCCTTAATAAGAACGAATTTTAAAACTATCTTTTAATATTAAAATAGTCTCTTCATCATGTATTGAAAAGTGAATAATAAATATTATTTGAGGGACGTCCCTCACTGGCCTTCTTTAGGCCGCCGTTTTCGGTCCACACTATGTTAACGGTGCTCCTCTTTTTCCTTCTTTCTCCTGTTTTATTTTCACGAGCCAGCAAGCTAGAGGATGGCATTTATTTTACTTTAGAAGACGAGAGAGTTTCTTTCTGTTCACGTTTTTTGAATATATCACATCAAGTTGGGTGCTCATCCTTGCGCTCAGGAACGTACGGTACAATCGAGCTTATCTCGAATCGCAGTGAGCTTGTCAATCTGCTTGGGAGAAGAAGAGAGGACAAAGTTGTTATTTTTATGGACTACAGTTTATTTATTGACGAGAATCTTCTGAGAGAATGTAGAACGTCTGAAATCGTCTCAGCCATTGTTGTATTTGCCCCCGATTACTCGGATCCGGACACTACGTCAAGTCTCAATTTTTCGGAGAACTCCTTATGTCCTAATGGGCTCTACAGTTTTTATAATCTCTCCAGGGAATGCAATGATCCTTATATAATCAATCCAAGTTCTTCGTCGTATGCTTTGATTGACTGGCCCTTCCCCGTTGTCCTTCTTAGAGATAATGAGGGCGAACTCAGAGTAAAGTTATACTTTTGTGACTCTTTTTTAGCGAAATTTGACTATTTGCTATGAGACTTTTAATGTGAAGCCTATAGATGACACACGATGTTCACTTGAAATACGGAATTTCATGTCTGCGGTTGGAAGTTCATCATTGTGTGTCGAGCGGCAGCACCGAGTCCCATTTACTCTATTCGAGGTCAATAATAGGTTTAATATGGTATCGAAATTGATATATTTTTCCCTTAATTCATTCTTGTATTTTTGCTTA